GCCCATCTTTTTCCGGTAAGACCACAACACCAATGTTGATTAATATTGACAAATAATTCGTGTTTTCAATGTCGAAGGTTTTGGATGATACTGAGTTAGAGACTTAGGTACTTTAAACCAGTAATTTTGTTTAGCTATTGTTCTGAAAGGTGCAGTGATGTGTCGAGGTTTAAACCAGTAATTTTGTTTAGCTATTGTTCTGAAAGGTGTAGTGATGTGTCGAGGTTTAAACCAGTAATTTTGTTTAGCTATTGTTCTGAAAGGTGTAGTGGTGTGTCGAGGTTTAAACCAGTAATTTTGTTTAGCTATTGTTCTGAAAGGTTTAGTGGTGTGTCGAGGTTTAAACCAGTAATTTTGTTTAGCTGTTGTTCTGAAAGATGTAGTGATGTGTCGAGGTTTAAACCAGTAATTTTGTTTAGCTGTTGTTCTGAAAGGTGTAGTGATGTGTCGAGGTTTGTGGATACCCGGGATCAACTCTTTGATTACATGGTCGAGTATAGGGGGCTAGTACTGAGATAGGATGATGTCTGGGGCCGAACTCCTTGATTCGATTCCATCAAGACTTCAGTATATAGGGGTCAACTCCTTGACTCGATTCTATCAAGACTTCAGTATATAGGGGTCAACTCCTTGACTCGATTTTATCAAGACTTCAATATAAGGGCTACTCCTTGGTTAGTTACATTCCATCAACACTTCAGTATAGGGACCTCGTACTGAGAAATTTGAGAAACAGATGATATAAACTTTTTATTCAAATTAAGTAGAACAGCTTGTACAACACAGTTAACAGCGATAATTAAAAAAATTACTCTTTGATTGAATGCCTCCGTAAATTGAATGCGCTTGGACACCTCCCCACCCCACCACGCCAAACCCATGGACGACAGACAACAGACAGGCAGGCATACTTGTTCTATATTTCTTGTGAGATTAATTCAGATGCCACGGGTGTGATTGTTTTCGTTATCAGGGGCAGGGCGGTGTAGTGGTTTAACGCGTGCGCACTAGATAATAAAGTCTGTCATTGAGTCAGGTGGTGTGGTTTTGATTCTCCGCTTGTACATGACAAGGAGTGGGGTCACCTGTCCAACTTTGTGGGTTTTTTCCGTGTCCCCGGTTTTCTCCCACAACTAAAGCGTATTATTGAAATAAAATTGAACCATATATTAACCCCGAATTGACCTTGTTTGTGTCGAGTGGATAGTTTTAGCAATCCAATTAATAGAACTTATAATTGACAGGGGGAGATAATCCCATCAATGATGTTGTTTTGATCTGCCTGTTAACGTCTATTAATCCGTCCATCAATCATCATTCGGTACCCTTCAGGATTAGAAGCTTAGTCTGACATCACAGGAACAGTGTGGTAAGATGACGTTAATCGGTTCAACTTCAATCGGTTCTAATACCAAGGGGCGGGAGAGAGAGAGAGAGAGAGAGAGAGAGAGAGGGGAGGGGGGGGGGTAACGTCCACTCAACACAATTTGTCATTAACGTTGAAGTGTTTACCCGTGAGGTGGAGGGGTATTTAAGACCAAACAGCTCTATATTCGTGTTCTTAGTCCTTATCTCTTAATTCACAGTCCTTAATTCTTATTTCTTCATTTGTTGTCGTATTTCGACATTTGTACAGTAAAATTAACATTTGTATCTCGAAATCAATATTTCTTTTACAAATCAGACATTTGTCATCAGATTTGTTAAATGTATTTTAATTGTATTTCAATATAACGATAAAATGTATTTTAGAAAATCAAAACTTAGCCTACATTTACATTTCATCAGAGAAATATGACGAAAAACAAATCTGGAACAACAAATTTCTAAATACAAATCTCCAAATACAAACCTTGCAAACCATTTCTCCCAAAACATTTCTCGAAATTCATCGAACCGGAATATTATGAGGACATGAGCGGAAATCAACCCTGCATACAATAAGTCACCATACAATAAAGGAGAATCGAGCAAGCATATATACAATCAGAAAATCGCTCGATGACCGCGACTTTAGTGGGATCACGTGCGTGTTATGTCCCTCTCTCTCTATACATTGGTTAATATGATCTAGCATTAAATAAAATATAAAATTAATTGAAAGTAGTCTATTTTCAGAAACGAAAGAGGGCTTTATCTCTTCTAAATCATGTAATCTCTCTCTCTCTCTCTCTCTCTCTCTCTCTCTCTTTATTCATAACTACTGACATTTTATATCTCAAGGGGAGGTAAGCAGCTACAACTCTGGCATGGATTCATTGGCGCAGGCGCACTAACCAGGAGATCCCGGTTTCGAACCCGTTCCAGGTTGGATCTATTTAATAAGGCCAGCTCCAAGTTTGGTCAAAGGTCACGAGATGTAAACAGAGCTAGCGCTAATCCCAACCCTAACCCTGGACCTAGCCATAACGCTTACCCTAACCCTAACCTACCATCTCGTCAAATATCACGCGCCCAAACCTTATTTACATCTCAGCGACCTACAGCTAGGCTTAAGAATTAGACCTAGCTCCCGTTCCTCGTGATTTCCCATTGTCGGTTGTGCATTACTGGAGTGGGGGGCGGGCTAAAATCAACAGCGTCTAGTAGATCGGGTGGGACGATAAACCAAGGCCTCGTGCACCGAGTTGAATGTAAATAAAGTAATTTACATTAGTTTCGTTACATAAACGTTACGTGACGTTACGTGACGTTACGTGACGTTGACATGGGAGCAACATGACGAGTTTTTATGATCAAACAAGTTTTTTGTGTGTGAAGATCAACTTTAAACGTGTTATTTACAATTTATCGTGGTTAAGACGAACGGTAAGACATGATGAGATGGCGGTTTATGTAATAAGTGTAAATTTACTGACTTCATCTCAACACAAGAAACTAACCCCTGCCCCCACCCCACCCCCTGTACACCATGTTTGTAAATATAACAGGGGTGTGTAGTAGAGAAATTTGTCTGTTTGGACGATCAATTATATTTTGGGGTGAAAATCGTGTTTTGTGAGTTTTTGTATAGGACTTTTGTTAATTCTTGATAATTTACGCATTTAACAATTAAATAACTGTTGATATTTGGTAATGTTGCTATAACAACGTGTTGTCTAGGTTACTTATTACTTTTATGCTCCAATCGGGATAATAAAAAACGGGCATGCGCATGCAGTGTGCTATGAGCGAGATTGTGACCAAACAGTGGCGTTTGGGCCTTCGAATTCCACGTGTTAGGGGCTCTTTTACATACACGCCAACGTGAACATCCGATCGACTAGACGATATTCCTTGCCAGACCCTGAAGAAACCGAAGTACTTTCTAGACCAGCGCCAGGATCGAACTTGGAATCACCTAATTAGTGTACCGTCTTCATTAGCCCAGTCGGTGCAGAAAAGTAGGATTTTAAACCCCATTTCTTGCTTTGTTTACATAATTAATGAGTCGACGTCTTACTCCATGGAATTACAAGCTTACAATAGAAATTATAAACATCGCCAACACCGGTGGTAACGTGACAAATTGTAAACATTGCCAACGTGTAATAAAACAACATTGGGAGGTGATAACGTCACAAACACTACGCTTGGTTATATTCCTAGTTGATATAATACTAGTTCATAATTTTATATGTCAACATTGAAACATTCGTCTATTGCTTGTTGACGCTCTGATTGGCTAGAAAGTTATACACGGTTCATGTGAGGAAGACGCCTATTGATTTATGAAAAGTTGGATGAGTTTGATGAAGCAAATGTATATATCAAATGAAATACAATTGAATGTTAGTTCCGAAATGACCTAATTTGTGTCGAGTGGACGTTACCCCCACCCCCTCTCTCTCTCTGTATATATATATATAAATATATATATATAAGATAAGATAGTCGGTAACGACATACCTTAAAATAAGGCTGTCTGTTAGTATAGGCCCACACTTACATTCTTTTATTGGAAATACCTTCCCGGGAATGCATCTTTAAAATAATATGGCGAAAATGACACGCAAAGCCAAACATGTAAACTGACAGATATCAGCAGAGTAGCAGAAGATGGTGAACCACTGGAGATAAAAATAGTGAAGACGACAGAGATTTTTAATGAAAGAAGACTTGTATTCTAGTGTTGCATTGATTGCCTCAAGTTGTTCTCGAGACGTATCGTTAGACCATTGTTTGTTCTTGACATGACATCAATGTTAGCACCCACTGCGCACTCCATACCATATTTGTAGTACGTCTGCTTTTTGGTTTAAATACGTCGGTTTTGTCAATCACGTTGCATAATGGATTCGATTGAGCGAGGAATTCGTCGTGTAGAAAAGATCGGAGGTTATCAAATAAGTTGAACATATTTTGATATGATGTTGTAGGTTGAAGAGGAAAGATGGTGTGTACTGAAGGATTCATGTGGTTATTTGTGGTTATATAAATACAACAATCCGATCAGATACTAATTGTGTTATTTGGATATCATTGTGAATCTGTAATAGTCTGTTATTTGATTCCATGGACATCAGTTTAGTATTCATATTGGAGACGATAGTCAGGTTCCTTATCACGTGTCAGTGACGCCATTAGTTATATCAGTTACGTCATAATATGCTATTTGAGATCAGTTGTGTCAAGTTAAGGGGATTAAATATGTATTACAATCGGAAGTGAAGGATAAGTGACATTTAAAATGCCAGTCACGTGATATGCTATATGAGATTTTGGTGTAATGTTAAAGGAAATACTTGTTAATATAAACAAAAATTACAACCGGAAGTGAAGGATAAGTGGTATGAGATGTTTAAGATGTCAGTTACATTATTGTTAGATGTTGTAGGAATATTAAGCATATTCTGTCTTATGTACGACAACCATCCATACTACTACTAGATAGTTGGCGTTAGGAAATTTGATGTCAAATGGTATCACGAATTGGAATCAGTGTTTGGGCCAAGTCTGTTTACGAGTAGAATGTTTGTCTAAAAGGAAGTGACGTCATATTTAAAATGTCCAAGGTACCGTTATATTAATTAAACTAGTTAGAACTATATTCTATGAAGTCTTGGCGAGCCAGTTCACGCCATTTTCGCTTCGCCTATGTAAAACTCCAGATATTTTTGTCTGGTTAGTCATAGAAACCTAATAGCACGTTCTAGTCACATGACGTCACAAGAGAGGATTAGATAAAACCCTGGCGTCGATGTAAATGTTCATTAATTATACAAAAGGACTGGATGTATTAAATATTATATTCAGAAATGTAAATTAGATAAACCAGTGACGTTGATGTAAACGGAAAGTTTAGTTCAAAATGAGGTTCAAAGCTTTGTATTGTGTCTGAGCGAACCGTTTGATATCGGATGAAGAACAGGAACTTATATATTCTTAATTTTAGATTTAACTTTAAACCAGGAAACACGATTATTTTACATTTTAGCAAAATAAAAAAAATCATTGAATGTTTTAAGATGTTGGATTAAGTGTGAGTGGTTATATTTTAGAAAATTATAAATGGTGAGGACAGACATTATCTATTGGATATATTTTGGTTTTACAACACGATAAAAAAAAGATCCCCGCGACGTGAACACGGTGTGACATTTTGTAAGAGACTTGAAGTAAATATCAGAGGTCGAACTGGAAGATTTTTTAAGATGATGTTTTACGAGAGGGGATTTGAATTTTATACATGTTTTACATTTATAGTTGGAGTCGACAGACTAGGATAGGGTTTAATGGACTGACTGGGATAGTGTTTACTTGGGATTTTAAGCGAAACGAAAGGTTAATGTGCTTTGATATATTTTTTTATCAGGTTTCTAAAGGATATGTCACATGTTTTTGTGGAAATATTTTGAGTGGCAGTAAAATGTGAGTCCTTCCTGGTCTAAAAATACGAGACGTTGACTTAAAAAAAAGTGTTGTATATTAACCATACATGTAGATAATGCAGACAAACTGTTCAATAATGTATAGACAGAACAAACCGCACATAAATACAGGAAATACAATATACATATACACTAAAACAATCATTTCCTCCGTTATATTGTAGACGGAATAAAGTGATATCGCAGACGGAGCACAGTGATATCGCAGACGGAACACAGTGATATCGCAGACGGAACACGGTGATATCCCAGACAGAACAAAGTGATTTCGCAGGCGACAAAGTGATATCGGATACGGAACACAGTGATATCGCAGACGGAACAAAGTGATATTGCAGACGGAACAAAGTGATATCGCAGCCGGAACTAAGTGCTATGACAGACGGAATACAGTGATATCGCAGACGGAACTAAGTGCATGTTATCGCAGACGGAACTGAGTGATATCGCAAACGGAACACAGTGATATCTCAGACGGAACAAAGTGATATTGCAGACGGAACACAGTGATATCGCAGACGGAACTAAGTGATACCTCAGACGGAACTAAGTGCATGGTATCGCAAACGGAACTGAATGATATCGCAGACGGAACACGGTGATATCGCAGACAGAACAAAGTGATATCGCAGGCGACAAAGTGATATCGGATACGGAACACAGTGATATCGCAGACGGAACAAAGTGATATTGCAGACGGAACAAAGTTTCGTAGCGTGTCTATTCTCTGGCGGTTAGGAAATCTATAATATATTGGGGAAGAACAAAACTAAAAAATAAAACAATTATCTGTCAAGTTGTGGATTATATTTGTATACCGTTGACACGAGAGGTTCACAAAATGAATATATATTAACTATGTGGTTTAAAACAAAATAGACTGACAAGTCTTGGATATATTGGAAATAACAATTCACATTTAAGAAAAAAGAACCAATTACACAACGTTGAATATGTTGTTAGGATTATAGAGAAGAGTCAACAAGACTTGGATGAGTCAATCCTTTGTTAGGGTAAGCACAGAGATGTTTAAAATATAATATAGCACACTGTTTAATGTCAATGCCTCACTGGGCTACGATTGTTGTTTACAGCCCCACTGGGCCGTGACTACTGTTTAATGCTAATATCCCAATGGGCTGTGACGACTGTAAAATTCTAATATCCCACTGGGCTGTGACTACTGTTTAATGCTAATATCCCAATGGGCTGTGACTGTAAAATGCTAATATCTCATTGGGCTGTGACTGCTGTATATCCCATTAGACTGTGACTACTGCCTAATTCTAGTATCTTTGTTTTAAAAGTCCCGGGGGTCACGTGGCTAAGTGGGTAAGACGCTGGCTCGCTAGCCTGGAGGTCGGGTGTTCGATCCCTGCATTGGCCGAGAAAGTTCATCCAGATTTTCCGGCGTGGTTTCCCCTTGTCAGTGATGCAGGACGGAGGGCCTGACAAGGACAGCTGTCTAGTCGTTCGGATGGGACGAAAAACCGAGGTCCCGTGTACATATTGGCGTGCACGTAAAAGATCCCTTGGCAGTTGGAATTCGATATAAGAGTAGGCCGTAGCGCCGCTGCCCGGGCAAAATTTCCCTCATAGCACACTGTATGGCGTATGCCCGTCTTCATTAGCCCAGTTTAGGAGCAGAACAGTAGGACGTTAAACCCCATTTCATTTCATTTCATTTAAAAGTCCCTGTAAGCCATTTGCAATTTCTGCAAATTACTTAATGTGTGTCCCATTAATCTATGCTAATTAAAAATATACTCCAGTTAAATATTCAATATTTGATTTAAAGGAAAACGAAATAAAAATATCAGCAGTGGATAAATCTTAGATTGGATTAAATCGGATTACGAAGAAACAGTTGAATATTTGTAAATTCAGATTTAGTTCTATTTTTTTATATTCTATTATCACTTTTCTTTAAGTCTATTTACTAAAAATATTATAGCCTCGTTTCGAATTCACTGATACAACAAATAAATACATTGAGGGCAAACTTTACCACGTTCCGTTGAAGTTAAAATCTTGTATCTTCAGTCAACTTAGCCACAGTTTGATTTCAAATCGTTATTTTGTTCATCTTGATGTCAACAAATATTTATAGACAACACCAGTATAGATTTAAAGTGGGTAACATACGAACCTGTTTGATGAAACCAATTGACTGTGTACTGTGGAATAAATGCTGACTTGTGTCCAGGGCCGGTGGGAGAAAATACAGGGCCGAATTGCTGTTTGATGAAGCGTGTTGACGAGTCACTATATAGCCTACTGTGGAATAAAAAATGCTGACTTGTACTGATTTTCGAGTAACGAACAACTTCACTCATTTTGAATGTTGTTGTTCTACTCGGGGCCTAAGGATAATTGAAGTGTGATCGACATACTTCCTTGGATAATTGCGCATCGACTGACGGGCTTTTGATATTTGATATGACATCACAGTGTCAAGATGGCGGCGATGACGTCATGCGTGATTCTTAGTCCTTATACTTCAATCGTAGGCCTAATTGAAATAGTTCTTGATTGGGCACGCTTCAGAATTGTTGAAACCGCCTTAATGTCTGAACTTTACCGGTTGCAATTCTGTTGAGAAGTCGCCATCTTTGTTGTTGAATTCTAATTGGTTAATTATTGATATCCATGGAAACATCTTCAGTCAAGTAGAAGAAAGTCGACAAAGGTCTGAGTTCAAATCAACTAATTTTATTTTATGACGACAAAAATAAAGATGGATGGTGGTTTAGATAATGACTTAAAGTCGAATTGGGTGTAAGCGATCGACGACCACTTTTTGGGTGTTGGTTGGAGGGGGGGGGGGGCTAGGTCATTTCGCGACAAACACATTAGACGGGCAATTCAAGTACGTTCAACATGGAACTTGACATACGTGTTTCTTGGACAACTGCGCATTGATCAGAGAATAGAAATGAGAGAGAGAGAGAGAGAGCGAGAGAGAGAGAGAGAGAGAGAGGGTTTAACGTCCACTCGACACAAACTAGGTCATTTCGGGACTAACATATGGTTCAATTTTATTTCAATAAATCGCTTGCGCGTAGGGGTCTTTAGCAGTGTGAGGAAACCGGAGGACCCGGAGAAAACCCAGTAGCTTGTCCAGGCGACCCTACTCCTTGTCACGTACAACCGGGGAATCGAAACCACGCCAATTAACTCAATGACAGACCTTATGATACAACGCACACGCGCTAAATATTCAGCCATCCAACCGTCGATGACGTCATGACGGCGATGACGTCATGTTATTTAGTGATCATGTATTTTAAACGGGTTTGTTACAGCTAACACATGTTTGTTGGTTTTAGGGTTTTTATGCCCTAGACGAACAAACGACATCTCTTTCCTTCATAAATGTAACTATATCGCGTCTTGACATTTGAGTAGGCGAGTATGTTTTTTTTTTTTGTTTGCTAGAAATATCTGTGTGCGTTAAAACTAAGATGAACAGGGATATTATAAACAGCAAGAAGCTTGGTTTGAAGCCAGTGTGTACTTTGTGTTCGGGACGAAACGGACTTTTTTATCAGGCAAGCAAGGAATAGTGGTACGAATGATACGAAAAACAGAGGTCCTCAATATTATTAGGTAAAATAAGTAAATATGTAACTGTAGAGGTCACTAAGTCACTTGTTAATTCTCTGGTCACTTCTCGATTAGATAACTTTAATTCACTTTTAGTTGGTTTACCTTTAAAGCTTACAGATAAATTACAAAAAGTACAGAATACTTCAGCTAGACGTTTTACTTCATAACTCCTGTTTTATATAATTTACACTGGAATGGTTACCTGTTAAATATCGAACTGATTTTAAGATTTTATTACTTAATTTTAAATGTTTAAATAATTTAGCACCTGTTTACCTCTCAGATCTTTTAGAACTTTATACACCAGGCCGAAGATTACGTACATGTTCAGATAAACTATTTGTAAAGCCCAAAACTGTTCAACTAGTCTCTTATGGTCAGCGCTCTTTTAGTTATCAAGCACCTGTTTTATGGAATAATCTACCATTTAGTTTAAGATGTTATACATCTCTATATTCTTTTAAAAAACAACTTAAAACACATTTATTTAAAGTAGCTAAGTCAATATCATCCAAAATCTTCAACAATGAAAACACGATTTATTTGTCAAATTAAATCAACATTCATGTTGTGATCTTACCGGAAAAAGATGGGCTTTTGATATCCAATATTTAAGACAAAATAAACATTTTACCATTGGTACACGAATCGTGTACCATAATGCGCTCCAGCCCCAGTTGTATCAAGAGACTCGAGGGACGAGGATAGACACATTGCACCAAATCTGCACACATTGTAGACTGGAATAACCAGACGCTAGAAATTTGCACTCGCTTGAGACTGCTGGCTTATTTCGCCGAACAAAACTGATTTGAAATTGGAGTAAAAACGGAAACCATTGAACGTAAATCAGTTTATATACATTCATATTACAGTATTATATGAGGTGCGACCCACTTTTGTCAATTTCTAGGTCCAAAATGTTAGCGATTTAGCTCCTTTAATGAGGGACCTGTTTCTCGATAACTAAAGATAAAATCCAAATTTTAGTAGATACTTCAATTTTGATTGGCTAAGCACTAAAATTAAAATCAATCTAATATTATCCAATCAAATTACTAAAATTTGAATTTTATCTCTGTTAAAATTTCGTTAAACAGGCCCCTGTTATTTTGGGAATTAGATATTTTTTATATTTCGTCGTCCATCCGTCGCCCACAATACCTGAGACAAAGACACCTATCTACCGATTTCTGGTAATTACGGTTTGAGTTATCGCCCTTAATCAATTTTTTAAAACATGGTGGGGGGGGGATTCTATAGGCTAAAGTGATCATCATGTTTGTGTACGTGAGACATAGAAGCCTAGTGGTTTTCAATGATTTTCGATGATTTCCGATACTTACTGTCGCAATTTGTACACACTTGTGGACGTTCTAGCAAATGTCACTTAAATTTGTAATGTTTGTGGAAATAGGGTATAAAACCCTACTGTTCTTCTCCGACTGGTTGTGGTCATCCGATGATCCGTCCCTGGTAAACTATACCTTATACCTCTGTAGTTCGGTACGACAGTGTGAAGACCTTGTATATTATTAAATCAAGGATGCGCGGTTCCCCTTGTCAGTGGTACAGGACAGGGGGTCTGGCAAGGACAGTGTCTAGGGTCGAACAACCGAGAACCCTTGACAGTTGGAATTCCAAATAGGAGTTGGCCGTTGGTACTGGTTTATATGGGAGAGAGAGAGAGAGAGAGAGAGGGGGGGGGTAACGTCCACTTGACACAGACAAGGTCATTTCGGGACTAACATATGGTTCAATTTTATTTCAATAATTCGCTTGGGCGTAGGGGTCTTTAGCAGTGGGGAGAAACCGGAGGATCCGGAGAAAACCCACGAGGTTGGACAGGCGACCCTACTCCTTGTCACGTACAACTGGGGAATCGAAACCACGTCAGTAGAATCAATAACATGATACAACGCGCACGCGTTAACCATTCAGCCATCCACCCCCTCGGTTCATATGATACTCCTTTGCCTATATTTTTTTTATTAAATTTTGCTATAAATTATGTTTGTTTCGTTTTTTTAACAGGGACAGGTGTAACTGGTGTTGAAATAGGGGACCAACCAAACCCGAACCCCAAACAGGACCATCCATAAAATATAAACATCATGATTGATGTGAAGGTTGTCAGGAGTATGCTGACGTCACGTAATTTCTACGCCTGTAGATACGGACTACTTTTCTTTGTTGGTGTGGTATTTGGTAGTATGGTTATGTTTTATTCAAGTGAGTAGCTTTATATCAGTTACTGTTAATTCCGGGCGATTCGACCGACATTCGACATAAATGTACCGGCGATTCGACTTACACTTGACCTAAATGTGTGTGTGAGAGAGAGAGAAATGGGGTTTTACGTCGACTCGACACAAACTAGGTCATTTCGGGATGAATATATGGTTGGACCGGCGGCCCTACTTCTTGTCACGTACTACCGGGGAATCGAAACCACGCCAGATTACTCAATCACAGACCTTATGATGCAACGCGCACGCGCTAACCATTCGGCCATTCCCCGCCCCACTCCCCGACCTAAATGTACAGGCGATTCGACTGATTTTTACATGTGACCTACGGGCGATCCGACCTCTATTTACACGGACGATTCGACTTATATATGTCAACATGTAGCTAATAAAACCTTGCTATATTTGGAAGTACCTATTTGGAGAGAATAATAGGTACTGTAGTTACCATAGCAATGCTGTTGTTAATCCTGATTACACCAATTTTCCAGAGTCCCCCGGTTTCATCCCACAGGACACCTATCCACAAAGGAAATATTGAAATAAAATATTGTACTATAATGTTAGTCCAGAAATGGCTCAGTTTGTTTTGAGTGGACGTTAACCCCTTTTCTCTATCTCCGAAAAAACTGCTCTCTCTCTCTCTCTCTCCCACTCTCTCTCTCTCTCTCTCTCTCGATCAATCGAATCGATCGATGTGCGAAACTAAATATGTCCCTTAGTAACGCGCCAATCAAATCATAATGGATGAGGCCACATAAAGCTAATTATTTGTTCGTTTTGGAATCCCTCCAGGAATCATGTATTGATATTGTTACTTGCAGTATTTCGAGACAGGGGTTAAAGTTGCCATACGACGAGGGTCTTCTCGTTTGTCACCGATATCAACCGTCCATGGCCGGAATCGGGCGTCCATGACCACAAAGTGACGAAGCTAGTTGGATACCACGAAGCCCACCTTCTTTTACTAAGGGAATTTTTGAAATAATATTGAAATATCTCTCTCTCTCTCTCTCTCTCTCTCTCTCTCTCTCTCTCTCTCTCTCTCTGTTCTTTACGGCGAAAGTTGGACGTTAAAACCCCATTTGGATATTGCCCGACATCTTTTTATAACAATATTTTATTTCAATTTGATGAAAAGGGATCAGGGAACATGCATCACCCCTTACCTCATACACGGAATATCAAATATATTATAAACAATATTATAAAATAATGGGAAACTAAAAAAAAACATATAAAACTGTATACACTATTGACAAGAAAATAAAAATGAAGAGACTATTTTATAACATAATTACAAATTGATCAGAAGAGAAAAATCCTTATTGAAACTTCTGGTGACATCAAAGTCTTCATGTTGCCTGAGTATTTATACCAAATAGAAATGATGTAATTCATTACTGATGTAATGGTAAAAGATTTATTGAATTTCTTCGTGCATCTGAATATAAAGGACACCAGTGGAGAAAATGTTTAGAATCTTCAAATCGATGACTGCAAGATGGATCCTCGGAGATATGTCGTAAAAATTTATACCCGTTTACAAGAAAACGGTCATCTGATTGTTTTTGGGTTTTTTTGTTTTTTTTGTAAAAATGAATTTAGAATAATAAGATCATTTAGTTTCAATTATTTTTGTTTGAAAGTAGTAAGAGACGGAGAAATTCTTATATTGAAATCAAATCTGTCCCATTGTTTTGTTGAAGAGGAGTTCTGAAAAATTGCTATTCTGCATTGCGTATTCTGAAAGATGTTCATAGATTCTTACATGATAAATATTTGGTCGGTATATAATGAAGTCATTTAAGCCTGCTGGTTTTAGCTATTTAATCATTTTAAAAATAAATAAATAGATAGAACTCAATGACCATTGAATACCACTAGCGCTCGTGGAATACTTGCGCAGGGATACACTTTCTTGAACCATTGAATAACCTGAGCGGTATTCAATGGTCATTGAGTTCTGTTTTTATTCTATAACTGCATGCAAATCTCAAAATACACTGTACTATCCAGATTATCAAAAACAAAATCACCAATAACGTCAAAATTCATCATAGGTTCTGCCCTTTTTTCTTTCTATTTTTTTTTTTACAAAAATTGTGGTTGCTAGTGTTGACGTCATTACAGTTTGACGTAATTCTGAAAGTGACGTCATTCTGGACAAAAGTAGTATGTGTACAAGCCATTGAATACAACCATAGGTTATTCAATGGCTGTATTCAATGGTTGTATTCAATGATATTTGCTTCTATTTGCATGTAGTTATAGAATAAATGTCATTTTTTGTCGTCTGCGTCTTTCAAAGTGCGCAATAATGATATAGAAATGTGTAATATCACTATTAATGCTTTGCATCAATGAAATTAAATCACAATGTCATCCTATTAGTTCATGATAAAAATTGCCGCCAAACGGGGTGCTGTATTTCTCTCTTTAAAAAGCTCAATGTGTATGTATGCTTACGTAATTTAGAGACGATAATGGCATCATGCATTGTCAACTGTCAAATTTCCTTCTTAACAGGAGCCTGCCCCCCCCCCCCGGATCTGCCCGTGATGTTTTTCTAACCTCGATCACTCTGTGATTATTTCCCGGGACAATGAAATGTCATGTATTTTTATCATTCACATTACTGTCGGTCAGTGGAGTTAACTTAAAGGTTAATAATATGAATGGTAATAATTATGGTAATATTGTATTGCTGCATTAGTCGAGCTGGTAGGCCAAATGTTAGAGTTACATCCTTTTGGGAATCGCGGCTGTTGGATATCAGACATTCTGGTCACATATACTGACGGTCACCGATCACCAATGATTTCCCAATTGACTTTAATGTTAATTCTCGTCTCTTAGACCGGCTCTAACGTTTACCCAAATTGGGTAGAACACTTTCTACCACAGATGGAGCAACATGTGGCAGCCTTTTGCTCAAAAGCACGTATGAGGTTCACCATAAAAAAATTAGATACACAAGCTGGAAGTAGAGACAAGTAAACATGCCATTTTCCGCCCTACATTTCAACCTAACCATCCTCTTAACTCTCATATCCGTCCGCCTCAAAATCATGAATATTCACCAAAACCTGGCAGAAAATGTAGTTTCAAACCCTTTTCTTCGATTCTACACCAAAAAGTCAACAAAAATCGCCATGCAAAAAGGGGAAAAAGGGAAAGGGAGAGAAAGACTAAAATAATTTTCGCCCTAATTAAATTAGAAATATTTCAATATATACATGATACGAGGTAAACATATAAAATAAAATGTGATATAAATTAACATATTTATATTACTGAGACCTAACTCAAATATAGGTACATACTTACTCAATGACTAAGATGCATCATTTGCATGTAATATTAAATTATTTTAAGATAGATGGTCAGAAAAGGTAAATAGATAAGACAGTGTGTTCAGATTAAAACGATCGGGGTTCGGGGTAAAGATTAACTTAATCCACTTAAAGGTCATTAGTCAATTTAGATAAGTAATTACATGTATAAACATACACGAATCGTGTACCATAATGCGTTTCAGCGCCATTTGTAACAAGGGACTCGAAGAACGAGGCTAGACATATTCCACAATAAATACTTTTGATGTAGACTGGAAAAACCAGACGCTACAGATTGCCATTTTATTGAGACTTCAGGCGTATTTCACCGAACATAACTGATTTGAAATTAGAGTAAAAACGGAAACGATTGAATGTAAATCAGTTTATATACATTCATAATACATTATTATATGCGTTGCGACCCATTTGTGTCAATTTCTAGATCCCAAATATTAGCGATTTACCTCCTTTAATATGTCCAATTACTAAATTGCCAATCAAAGAAGATCGCTTTAAAACACTAAATTTATGTGCTGGACTTTTCCTGTTTGACGTCAACCTACACCCAAAATTCCACTAATGTTATCATGGCGTGAGGCTGTACATAAAGTGTGTTTATCATTTTTATAAAGGTCATTTGTCTGTTGTTTATTGATAAATCTAAGTCAAGAAATACGCGAGACAGAAGTTGATATTCAACTCTGGAATAATCCACACTTTCTGTCCTTTTATTTGTGTGTGTGTTTTTCAATATTTGATGTAGAATATTGTTGGCTTTTGTCACGGTGTCTCGGTGAGTGAGTAACGCATTGTTTCTCATTGTCAATGTCGCAGGACGGACGACCTGGCGTGGAACACTGCGTGGCGTATGTACAGGGTCGAACCCAGGATTTTTTGCAGGAGGGGGGTTTGCCAGGTTCTTGTTAAGGAAATTTGACAGTTGACACTGCATGATGCCATCATCGTCTCCGAATTATGCAGGCATACATACACATTGAACTTTTTTAAAAAGAGGAATCCAACACCACGTTTGATGTCAATTTATTGTGCATGCTCGCCAGATAAGAATATGGCATGCCCGTTTGACATGACTTGTGAAATATGTCTAGCCTCGTTCTTCGAGTCCCTTGTTACAAATGACACTAAAACGGATTATGGTATACGATTCGTGAACCAATATTAAAATGTTTATTTTGTCTTCAATATTGGATATCAGAAGCCCATCTTTTTCCGGTAAGATAGCAACATCAATGTTGATTTAAATTGACAAATAAATCGTGATTTCAATGTTGAAGATTTTGGATGATATCGAGTTAGAGATTTAGCTAGTTTAAAATAGAGTTTCATCGGGCTGGTGTATTTACATCATTCCTACATGTATTGACAAATATTGGATTGTAAACAAGATGTCCTCTTATTGACTTAACTAACACGGAACAGACTCCATCACGGTTTATATTTAACTCAATTTAATCGATGAATATTTACCTAGTGACGGAGTTGACCACCAGGTCGCGACATGGTCGTTAAGAAAAGTTATCCTGACATATAAATAGCAGAGTGGTGATATATTTCACGTCTCAACAAGGCAGCAACACAATATCACCGCCAACTGTTAGAGCAATTATCACGTGAACTTTTACTAATCCACTGGTCGGTAACCCAATTACATAATAGATCGTTTACAGTAGACTTTACTTTAAAGGCACAGTACACATCGTTTACACTAGACCGTAAAGGTCGATCGGCGACTTTTTCGTCGTACTAGCTTAACGGCGACCCGCGACTTTCACAACACGAGAGTCGCCGTTAAGCCACGCGACGAAAAAGTCAGCGCCTTTTTCGGCGACCTTTTCGTCGCCCTGGTTAACGGCGACTCTCGCCTTAGACTGGATAACCTGCTCTAATACGTCAGACACGCTCCTACGTCACTCCTTTTCTGACTTGCATAATAAGAAGTCAGACTAGCGCAGTGACGTAGGAACCAGCCTGGCGTCATTTAGACCAGGTTGTCCAGTCTACTCTCGCCTCGGAAGTTTATAGTTAGTTACATGCGCAATGGCTACATTTTACGCTACATTTGGGCTGTCGAGCTATATCAACATTTTCAGTGACACTAGGGCAAATTAAAATTTATGAGTGTTACAAACACGTGTACTTTCAAAACCAGATTAGTTACACTGGAATTACATTTAAAATGTACACGTCTTTATATCACTTAATATTTCCCCATTGATTTAATGTTAATTCTCGTATCTTAGACCGGCTCTAACTTTTTCCCAAATTTTCATTGGGTAGAACGCTTTCTGCCACAGATGGAGCAACATGTGGCAAACTCTTGCACAAAAGCATGTATGAGGTTCACAAGTAGAGACAAGTAAACATGCAATTTTCGGCCCTACATTTCAACCTAACCAACCTCTCAAAATCATGAATATTCACCAAAACCTAGCAGAAAATGTATTTTCAAACCCCTTTCTTCGATTCTACACCAAAAATCGGCATGCAAAAGGGGGAAAAGGGAAAGGGAGAGAAAGACTAAAAATAACTTTCTCCCTACATTTGGTAATCTATGCCCATACAAGAAGTAAAATGTAGCCATTGCGCATGTAACTAACTATAAACTTCCGAGACGAGAGTCGCCGTTAAGCCAGAGCGACGAAAAAGTCGCCGAAAAAGGCGCCTTTTTCGTCGTGCTGGCTTAACGGCGACTCTCGCGTTGTATCTAGAAACCCGCCGATCTAAATGGACGCTTTCAGCCACCATAACTTTAATGCATAGACTTTTTTTTTTTATTTCAACAATTTCCGTTAATTACGTGTAGAGTCATGGTCCTTATTTCACTTTGAAGAACCATGTGAACGCTATTATCACTCGATCTGTATTAAATTTGTATGAATTATTTCAATTAATAAAACGAAGAAGGCTACAGAATTTCAGCAATGTCTGTTAAAAACTTCCAGAGTTATGGACTTTGTTTCACTTTGTTGAGCCTAGTGAACGCTCTATTTACAAAAGTGATCATCCGATCTGTATTAAATTCATATTCATTATTTAGATAGTAAAACAAAGACGCCTGTAGAATTTCAGAAATTTCCACATAGAACTTCTAGAGTTATGGGCAATTGTTTCCCTTTGTTGCACCTTGTGAACACGCTAAGGACTAAAGTTATCATCTGATCTTTGGGCGTATGTTTCGTTGTGTGACAACCTATCTTATTTTCCTACTAGGACTTTAGAGGTATAAAAAGTTTTTGTTCTTTAACTGTATAATTTTGGACATCACGGACGAATTGGCTGCTTTAGGCGAATGTTTCGTTGTCTGGCAACCTATTTTGTTTTCTGCCGTGACTTTAGAAGGATACAAGTCGCCTAACACAATTCTATTATATTTATTAATTAACAGTTTAAGTATAATTGATGTGTATTATGTTATGTTCTTCGCTGGGGGTGGGGGGAGGCTGAAACTCCGGCGCCTCTTCTATCGGCGCACCGTTTCACCTCGTCTTCATTAGCCCAGTTCGGAGCAGACCACTAGGACGTTAAACCACATTTCATTTCATTGCACCATTTCACCTGCTACTATATTATTATAATTTATGATGTGTATTATGGTTATGGTGGGTGGGGGGGGGCTCCAGAGCCCTCCTATCGGCGCACCGTTTTACCTGCTACTACTATATTATAATTTATATTAAATATATTATTACAGGTGTTGATATATCAAGTGTAACAGTTGGAACACAATATTTATGGTCAGAGAAAGAAAGGGCATATAGTAGGTCACATGATATTTTCATCCTCTCCGCGCTGCACTTCCGTTAACTATCCCTGGAATACATGAATTAGGACCACCTTTTCACCCCTTCTGCATGGCCATTAATGTTTACCCTTTTCGGTCTGGAATCTTAGCAGGTGCTTTGAATCGGCGTTTTCGTGAATTAAGAGTTGGGGGATAACAGCGTTAAGAGGTACTATGTCGGGGGATTTTGTCCGTAAACGACATTTTCGCCTACCGGTACGTATCATCCAATTCCATCTGTCCAGTCTTCTCTTACGTCATCAATTATACGGGTGGATCGCGGTTAAGCGTCCCTTCCGAAGGAGGCTACTTACCTCCACGATAGGGGAAATTTTATACGTCCACAGGCGACAGATGGAATTAGAAAAGGATTAGCCGAATGGTTAACGCGTTGGATCATAAGGTCTATCATTGAGTCGAGTGGAGTGGTTTCAATTACCCGCTTGTATGTGACAAGGAGTAGGGTCGCCTGTTCAATTTCGTGGGTTTTCTCTAGATTATCCGGTTCCCTTCCACTGTTAGGGATCACGGTGGCTAAGTGCATTGGTCGAGAAAGGTAATACAGATCATCCGGCGTGGTTCCCCCATGTCAGTGATGCAGGACGGAAAGCCTGGCAAGGACAGCTGTCTAGTCGTTCGGATGGGACGAAAAACCGAGGTCCCGTGTACACATTGGCGTGCACGTAAATGATCCCTTGACAGTTGGAATTCGATATAAGAGTAGGTCGTAGTGCCGCTGTCCGGGCAAAATTTCCCTCATAGCACACTGTATGGCGTATGCCCGTCCTCATTAGCCCAGTTCGGAGTAGAACAGTAGGACGTTAAACCCCATTTAATTTCATTTCATTTCCTCCACTGTTAAAGACTCCTACTCGCAAGTAGATTAATGATAGAAAAATTGAACAATGTTAGTCCAGAAATAACCTAGTTTATATCGAGAGGACGTTATACCCCATTTCACTCTCTCTGGAATTCGAAAGGTCATTTCGGAACTAACATGCGGTTCAATTTTATTTCAATAATTCGCTTGCCCGTAGCAGTCTTTAGCAGAGGGAGGACCCCGAGAAAACCTATGTACAAACGTGAAGTCGAAATCACGCCACTTGACTCAGTGACAGACCATGTAATTTAACGCGCACGCTTTAAACCATCCCCCACCCCCCTCCAGTCCGATAGAGCACTCTCGAGATATGTTATGGACCATGGTTACACCAAGACGGGCATAATATCGTGAATAAGGCAGACCGTGCTTACGTTTTCGGGGTAAAATTATACCTTATTGTTTTTTATTGTTTTTTTGTTGTTGTTTATTTTCGTTTTCTTTTTCAGTTGCTGTTAGAGGACATAATAAAATAGACGCACCCTCCGTCCAATATGTTATGATTTTAACATACATGCGCAGTGGATCATCGTTTACGGGAGATGTGTTACAGCGCCACCCTCATGCATTTTATGTGTTCGAGCCTTTAATATCAATATACCACGATAGATATATACTATATTTAAACGGTACTAGAAGGTAAATATCATCAATATACCATGGTAGATATATACTATTTTTAAACGGTACTAGAAGGTAAATATCATCAATATACCACGATAGATATATACTATATTTAAACGGTAGTAGAAGGTAAATATCATCAATATACCATGATAGATATATACTATATTTAAACGGTACTAGAAGGTAAATATCATCAATATACCACTATAGATATATACTATATTTAAACGGTAGTAGAAGGTAAATATCATCAATATACCATGATAGATATATACTATATTTAAACGGTACTAGAAGGTAAATATCATCAATATACCACGATGGATATAAACTATATTTAAACGGTACTAGAAGGTAAATATCATCAATATACCACGATAGATATATACTATATTTAAACGGTACTAGAGTGTAAGGCGTCTAGTCATTCGGACAGGACGAAAATTCTAGGTCCTGTGTATGCCACTGGCTGCACGTTAAAGGTCGTCTGATGGTTCAAAATCGAAATAAGAAAAGTTCGTAGCGCTGCTTTCCGGGAAAAATGTCCCTCTTACAGTATTGGACTGCACCGCGAGTGCTCGTCGCTATTAGCCCGAATAACCGGAAATGCGAGACGTTAAACTCTATTTCATTCCATGGTTGTATATATGGTTGGTTTAAAAAAAAAGAAAAAAGAAATCGCTCACAGAAAATATGCTTGTCTTCACTGTTTCGTTTCATATTTTTATGAAGTCATGGTTATTTCATATTTACAAATAAATGAAATGAAATGAAATGGGGTTTAACATCCTACTGTTCTGCTCCGACTGGGCTAATGAAGACGGGCATGCATACGCCATACAGTGTAATATTAGGGAAATTTTGCCGGGACAGCGGCACTATGACCTACTCTTATATCGAATTTCAACTCCCAATGGATCTTTTACGTGGATGCTAATGTATACGCGTGACCGCGGTTTTTCGTCCCATCCGAACGACTAGACAGCTGTCCTTTTCAGGCCCTCCGTCCTGCACCACTGAAAAGGGGAAACCACGTCAGAAAAATCCGATTAACTTTCTCGGCCAATGCCGGGATCGAACACGCGACTTCCAGGTTAGCGAGCCAGCGTGGTTAATGTTAAATGATAAGGTCACCTCAATTTTTCGTCAAAGGTCACGAGATATAAACAGGACTTGCGCTTATCCCAACCCTGACCCTGACCTTGGACCTAGTCCTTATGCTTAGCCTAACCCTAACCTACAATCTCGCCAACAATCACGTGCCCTAACATCTCAGCGACCTTAACCAAAAATTGAGCTGGCCTTATCATTTAGCACCAACCAGCGTGTTACCCACTTAGCCTCAGTGGCTCTCCATTTACTAATGAATGTTAAAACGGAAGTTAATCCGCTTCTTTATTTCTCATTTCAGGAACCTCACCATGGAAACCGACCTTCGAAAGGAAGCACTGACCCAATTACTAGCCTGGTATACGTGCGACTTGTATCAACTTGATGTGAAAGCTTTACGATATCTGTTCCTTGATTTTGGACGTCAAACTTCAAACTATTATCATTGTATAGGAAGAGAAAAAAGTTTAGCCAAAATAAAAAAATGTCTTCCAGATTTAATCCGTGAGTGCAAAAACTCTAACGTAAGAATAATAAAAACAATACGAATGACAATGAATTCAGCGAAACCCCTTTTAGAAAATTATCCCAATTTTAAAATCATTCATTTAATAAGAGATCCGCGAGGAATTTTTAACTCCCGTATTGCAACAGAGCCGAAATATTTCCCTAGAAGCAGAGTGCGCACGCATACTACAGAATTGTGCGCGGAGATGTCGAGGGACATGTCTGTCACTAACGCCATAATAAAAGACTACTCGACTAGACTAATTGTTTTACAGTATGAAAATCTAGCCGAGCATCCATATAAAACCACAGCGCGTTTATACGATTTTCTCGGCACGACACCGTCGTTGGAGATTTACGGCTATGTGTTCTGTATTACGTCGATGGGGGGCGTGGCTGAGCGTAACTATGACATCAAGAGAAGTAACTCTACGTCAACAGCCAACAAATGGAAGAAAGATTTGAGAAGAGCTGAGATATTTATAATAGACAGTGTTTGTAAAACAGCGTATAAACAATTGGGGTATTCCCCAGTGGCGAATATATCGTATCATACACGCATCAATACATTACAATAAACTGTATCAGTATTTTTAATACAATAATATTTTGTTAGTAAGTGTTCCTTGTTGAATGGAAGTGTTCGATCACTGCATTGGCCGAGAAAGTTCTACCAGATTTTCAGGCGTGGTTCCCCCGGTGGTTCCACCTTGTCATTGATGCAGGACGGAGGGCCTGACAAGGACAGCTGTAAAGTCGTTCGGATGGGACAGCTGTCAAGTCGTTCGGATGGGACGAAAAACCGAGGTCCCGTGTATACACATTGGCGTGCACGTAAAAGATCCCTTGACAGTTGGAATTCGATATAAGATTAGGCACTAGGCCTGAGTGCCGCTGTCCGGGCAAAATTTCCCTCATGTCACACTGTATGGTGTATACCCGTCTTCATTAGCCCAGTTTAGGAGCAGAACAGTAGAACGTTAAACCCCATTTCATTTCATTTGTTGAATGGATCGAGAAGAGTCGCGGTGACTCCGTGAGTAAGTCGTTGGCTCATTAACCTGGAGTTACAGTATTCGATCCCTGCGTGTTGGTTAAAGGGATGCTCGATTGAACATTCCGGGATTGAATTCTGTCAAACCCAAAAATAGGGACAATCGAGTGAAAATGGGATTTTGGGCCAGAACGCATGCGCCGACTGCATGAGAAAATATCTCAACCAACCATGACAGCTGAAACATATTCATTAGATAATTACGTCACAATTCTACTCAGACCACCTCCGTTGTCGGGACTGACAGATCTGTGATAGGTCTGAATCCCGTGTCACTCGATTGCTTTTTCGTCAATTCGGAACGTTCCGGATGACAATCGAACACCCCCTAAGAGAGTTCATCGGAATTTTCCCCCTTATATCAGTGGTGTAGGACGTAGGGCCGGGCAACAGAGAATGTATAGTCGTGTTGATGGGAGGAACAACCGAGGTCCCGACTACACATATGGGTGTACGAAAAAGATCCCTTGATAGTTGGAATTTAAAATAAACCAGTAGGTCGTGGCACCGCTGTCCGGATCGACGACAGCAGCCAATAAGTTCGCCAGGTCAACGCTACGAGTAGACGTAATTTGAATGCAGTGTAGTACAGTTGGATTCGCTGAACCAGTGCCAATCTGATTAAAACACAGATACTATTTCGTTTCGTTTTTTATACTTCAAAATTTCGTTTTACTTGTCATTACTACACTAGGATTTGCAAGAGTTGTTATGTAACCCGCGTTCTGGATGATGTGAGGGATTAGCTAATGAAATGGTCTATTGCAGTGAGTTCTTGGTGTGTGATGCACGGAACTGTCAGTATCCTACTAGAAACATCAAACGTCATAGGGTCAAAAGCCACTCGTATGATCCCTGACGTGGCCTCTCACTATACAACTGGTCAGGTCTTCATGTAGTAGAGGCCGTCGAAATATAAAACAAAAACGAAACGAAATGTATTTTAATCAGATTGAACCGGCGCTCTGTAGGTAGTATCCGTGTATAGGCCATGGCCCTATGGCCCTATTTATGAAATGGTACGAATTGTACAATGATTTAAATTAGTTTGTTTTTTAAATAAGGAAATTAAATGAAATGAAATGGGGTTTAACCCCCTACAGTTCTGCACCGACTCTTTAATAAGGCCCCAGATGTTATCTGTTATTATTGTCTGCTGCTTGGAGGTGCAGTGCTTGTTGCTATAGTGATCAAAGTAGAATAGGAGATTCCGATATTTTGTCGGGTTCGGTTCATACAATAATTTGTCGGGGCTAGAGTATAACATCAATTTGGTTCATAAATTATGTGGAGAGAGAGAGAGGGAGAGAGAGAGAGAGAAATGGGGTTTAACGTTCACTAGACACAAACTAGCAAACTATGTCATTTCAGGACTAACACATGGTTCAGTTTTTTTCAATAATTCGCTTGCGCGTAGGGGTTTTTAGGAGTGGGAGAAAACCGGAGGACCAGGTGAAAACCCACGGGGTTGGACAGGCGACCTTACTCCTTGTCACGTACAACCGGTGATTCGAAACCACGCGAGTTGACTCAATGACAGGCCTTATGATACAACGTGCACGTGCTAACCATTCGGCCATCCAACCCCCCAAAATATGTGAAAGCTATGGTATCTGGTACATACCTGAGAAATGAGCTCGGCCATTATTTTAAGGATGAAACATGTGTCATCCAACGTTGAACGTACGTGACAAGGAGTAGGGTCTCCTGTCCAACCTCGTGGGTTTTCTCTGGGTCCTCTGGTTTCCCAAGACCCCTCCGCACAAGCGGATTATTGAAATAAAATTGAAGAATATGTTCGACCTGAAATGACCTAGTTTGGGTCGAGTGGACGTCAATCCATCCGCCCTCTCTCTCACACATGTACGTGGAATGTAGGTCGAATCGCCCTTAATTTGTTTTTCTCTCCTCTTCCTGCATTTGCTGTTTGACTTTTGGTCTAAAAATTGGAGAATAGGGGTCCAATTTGCAATTTTCATAGCAGCTTTGGGTAATACTGATGATATTACAGCGAAGGGATAGGGGGTGTAAAGTGTCTTTCTGCAGAGCAATCATTGTGTCGGAAGGGAGCAAAAAATCTAAACGGTCAACAGCCTACAAAGTTATGATGAGGAGATTGCAAAATGCGGTCCCCTATGTGCCTATAATGATTGGAACCAGTGGAATGTTGAGCAAAAAATCTACAGCCTGTGATGTTACAGCCATTTATATGGTGGCTGTTAGCGGCCATTCAAATGTCATCTAAATCGTCGCCTTATGAACAAGTCGACAAGTCGACAAGTCGACGAAATCAACCCGCCAACACGACAAAATAACCCGACGATCGTCGCCTTCATTTCGTCGACTTGTCGGGTCAAGATGGTTCCAATTTTTAGACTTTACCGTTAAGACATGTTTACAGGAAATCAAACCCCATTTCACCGACTTCCTGTTGCCATCAATCAATAATATTTTATTGTTGTCATATAATAGGCTTCTATAATCTTGTATTTCGCTCATTGTTTTTAGTAGGCCTACAATTTAAAGAAGAAAACATAAAATGGCGTCTTGCCAGCCAGTGCATGACGTCATGATGGACGTCTGAGTAATTGGTCGTGAGTTATAAATATTTGAGACAAGTGTAAGCGAAATGAAATAGAGTTTAATGTCTTACTTTTCTTACTTTTCATCCCAGGTCATTGCTTATGTGGAAACTTAACCTCTCCCCCATATTCTTAAACCTGACCCTGGACCTAGCCCCAAATTCTTAAACCTAACCTACAATCGCGCCAACAATCACGTGCCCTAACCTAATTTACATCTCAACGACTAATTGTGCCGACATTAACAAATGGGTTTAGCCCACCATACCCTACATCTAGTCTCGCCTGTATGACGAATTTCGCCATTGGAACTACTTTCAAGTCCCCGATTGCAAATGGCGGCGCCCATGAAGTGTTTTATCATACAAAGCTTCCAATGTCTGAAGCTGTTTTTCTTTCAAGTGTGTGTGGGGTGGGGTGGGGATTACATGTCATTTGGGACTCACGTCATTTGGGACTCGCGTCATTTGGGACTCAAAAAAATATGACCACGACATTTGGGACTTGGGTATACGACGTTTGGGACTTTGGTATACGTCGTTTGGGACTCGCGTATACAACGTTTGGGACTCGGGATAATTTATTAGAAATAGGCCAATTCAAAACACGAAAGAAAATATTTATTAACATGAAACACGTGGTTAGTAAAAGCTCAACCAAACGATAAAACATTAGTTGCACTTACGGTTCTTTGATAATCATCGTTTCTCATAAAAGTTATATATTTATTTAAAACGAATAATATGCTGATGAATTTATTTGAAAATGACCTACACAAAAAACAAAATAAATATTTACACGACATGCAATCTTTTTTACAAGCCCCTAGAAATTGTTAACGATAATCCGTGAGCTGCACGTTGACATGCTTGTCGTAGATGGCAACGTTTTTTTGTGGAAAATATAAGAAATGGCAACGATCAAAGCGGGATAATTAAAGCTGATTAACTGATAATCCCGATGTTATTGCAGTCAGAGGGTCCGCAACCCTAACCCCTAACCCTAACCCATTTTTTAAATTCGGGGGCCGAATGGTTAACAGGTGCGTGCTGTATCATGAGGTCTGTCATTGAGTCAACTGGCGTGTTTTCAATTCCCCGTTTGTAGCCTACGTGACAAGGAGAAGGGCCGCCTGTCCAACCTCGTGCTTTTTCTCCGGGTCTTCCGGTTTCCTCCCACTGCTAAAGACCCTTACGCGTAAGTGATTTATTGAAATAAAATTGGACCATGTGTTAGTCCCGAAATGATCTTGTTTGTGTCAAGTGGACGATAAACTCCACTTCTCTCGTTCTCTCTTCTTTCAAGTTTATTCGGTTTTCTTTAAACAAAGGACAACTTTGCAATGAAAACTCTACACACTCTTCGAACGACACCATTTTTAGAACTTTTTTTCTTAAAGCGGCAAGTTTTTCTATCAGTAAACCGATAGCCGCATCACAATTGTATAGGTGTAGGTACATATCACTTACCGTCATAAAGCCGAGGCTACATGTTGGGTACCGGAATCTGCCGAGGTTTGCCAAGAGACGAAGCTGACATTTGTATATCGACGGTTTTAGTCGAGAGAGAGAGAAATGGGGTTTAACGTCCACTCGACACAAACTAGGTCATTTCGGGACCAACATATATGGTTTAATTTTATTTCAATAATTCGCTTGCGCATAAGGGTCTTTAGCAGTGGGAGGAAACCGGAGGACCCGGAGAAAACCCACGAGGTTGGACAGGCGACCCTACTCCTTGTCACGTACAACCGGGGATTCGAAACCACGCCAGTCGACTCAATGACAGACTTTATGATACAGCGCGCGCACGCTAACCATTCAGCCATCCAACCCCCCGATTTTAGTCGAAAACACTAATTAAAAAATCCCCTTCCGTTTAATAAAATTTTAAAAAATAGTCTTTGTGTGTAACTTATATGTAAAACGGCCTAGAATAGCATTGCAAAACGGGAGGCACGATGGCTCAGTGAGTGGGAC